TTCAATATATCAGTAGTATTTTACTACTTTTATTTTATTGTTAGTAAATATAAAATAATTAGTGATAAATAGTGAAGGCTTTACAATAAACAAAACTGTAGACAAGATCATATGATACAGTTTAATAAAAGTTTTTTAAACATTTGAATTTCTTAGTTGATCTAAGCTAGACTATTAATGAGAACCTGGAAGCACTAGACAGCCGTTTTGTCTTAGTATGAGACTTTTCCCCCTGGGGTAAACATATACACCTGAGACCTGCAGTTTCGCACGTAATCAGTTAATCTCTAGATTATTGAGCTTGCATCTATAAAGGTAGTAATGAAATGATGGAGAAGATTTGTAGCTCAAGTGGATGACTTCTATCTGAAGTTTGTACTGATGATATTGTTTAGAAGAACGATGAAAGCTCCATAACTAAACTATTCAGCTCAGAGAACAAAACTCCACCAAAAAGGTGTTAACGTTTAATTTCAGTCGATTCATGATCTTACGAAACCTTTCACTCATTGTCGAAAGTGGATAATTGTATCTACTTGACATGGATTGTACTTCACTGGTCATGACTTCTTATTATAACGTTAGACTATCCACTAATCACTAATGAGTACATGATTATTAGTATGGGGATTTGTGGAGAGGGATTCAACTCGAATTCAATTGTTAAAATATTACAATCTCCAATAGTCTTTACATCTATGAAATTTTTGTTAGTTAAAAGCATTCATATATTTTTCTTATTTAAACATTACATTCAGATTATCCTACAAAATAAAGAAACCGTTTGTTGTCTAGTTACAGTAATAAAGGTCTGTTTTCGTAAGCAATGATGGATAGTGGCTAGCAATGGAATTCAGGACGCGCGTTTCGTCTTATTCAAGACTCATCAGCTGAATTTACCTGAATTTAAATTCACCCCATTACATAAGCAAGTGGCTATCAGGACTCAGTAGCTAAGTGGATAACGTGATGATGTTTGAAGCGAACAGTACTGAGTTCGAGTCCCAGAGTGAACATCAACTCTGAGATGCAGGTACGCCCAGCTAACGAGTCTCAAATAGGTTGAAGCGCGCGTCCTGGATTCCACTGCTAGCCACTATCTATCAATGCTTATAAAAAGCTTGTGAATTATGGCAATATCGAGGCTTACACACAGTATGCGCATATGCCAATAACAGACTGATCAATTGCAGTCCTAAACCTCAATGGGAAGATACAAGCCAAAGAATACCAAGTGAATAAAGGTCTGTTATTTATTTATTTTTCCTATAGGGATGGATTAATTTAAAGTGATTACATATGTAATCAAACATTATTATGTACCAAATAATTATCTGTGGTAGGCTAAAATAATACATTTCTAAATGAATTCTTAGAAATTAAATTCCGTGAATCTATCTTTTTATCATCGACTGTTTATTTTGTTGAGTAAATTCATTTTACATCTGACGTAATTCGTATAATTTGTTTATATTTCAATGTTACATGTTTTTGTAAGCTCGAATTAGATTGTGTTTATCCGTCACAATGATCATATTCATTTAAATAAACATATAAACATGATGAATACATCAGTTAACCGTAATAATAATAATAATAATAATAATAATAATAATAATAATAATAATAATAATAACAATAATAATAGTTGATTTTCGTTGGTTTTATTTCACTGAAATCAAAGTCACTATAAGTTAGACAATCATTGAAAACCTAAAAGCACTGTATAGCTATTTTGTTTCAGCATGGAACTTCTTAGATGTAGGTATCTATGGCTTCATCACCGTGGATTGAATACAGAATCTTCGGTCTTGTATACAGACATTTAACCTCTAGATGACCGAGTCATGGCCCAATTGAATACAAATCCAATTTCAATCAATCCATGTTATCATGCGACTGTTTTCCACTGTCTTCGGTGAGTATCTTCTCTGCACCAGACACTATGGAGTTTTTATGTAGTTTCATAATAGAATGAAATGGTAGTCCAGTGCTTTTAAGTTTCAATGGTGTCTTCCATAGATATTAGTGAATAGATTTAGCATCCACTATCATTTTTTGAGGTTATACACGATCAAGCAGACTTATAGATACTCTTCACTATAATACAAGTAAATCATGTTTCTCGGATAAAAATAAAAGCAATCACCTTACTAGGAACTAATACCAGTTTGTTTTAGATAACATAGAACATATTTTACGCCTATTTCTGTAAAACAGTTAACAATAAAACTATGCATTACAGAAGAATAATTCTTTAGAAATTCGCTACTTGATTGATCTACATTCACTGTAAATCATTAGATGTTTAAACATAATACAATTTCTAGATAAAAAATGAAATTGAATGAATGACAACTTCAAGTTTTTTTCCGAAGAAAGATAATGTTAGTCATAAGGATACACAACATGTTCAACAGCTGATATTATAACTTACGAACACTTCGTCATTCCATTAACTTGATTACGATAGCTTGTTTTTGTTTATTTTGAAATCTTATATGAAATGTTATTAATACGAAAAGTTTTAAACTGTGTACATAATAGAGATCATGAATGAATCAATGTTAGACAACTATTAAAAACCTCGAAGTACCGGGCGGCAGTTTTGCCTTAGTATAGGATTCATAGTGAGTGATCATCCACGATCCTGCATTTAGGATTGGAACCCAGGACCTTCTCTTTCGCGTGAAAATGCCTAACCTCTACACCACTGAGCCGAGATCTAACTTTGTTATTGTACAACCTCAACTAATCCACTAGTAATTGACTTTAAGAGGTAAGTATAGGAGTTATAGTGAGGAGCCGTGATAAGTGGAGCTCAGTCGTGTCAGGTGTGAAGCGGTTACTATCCAAAGACAATCGAAGATGACCGTGCATTATGGTAGATTGGTTGAAGTGAGGTGTTTACTCACGAAACCGAATTTCCTGGGTTCAAATCCTGCGTGTGGAAATGTGGATACGCACTGCCGAAGGGTCCCATACTATGGCAAAATGACCGTCCAGTGCTTCTAGGTTTTTAATGGTAATCTAACATTGGTCGATTTATGATCTCGATTAAAACTCATCAATCTCTATAACCCTATACTGATGTGTATATAACGGTTTAATGAAGTTTACTACTTAGAAATGTTAAATTGCAAATTGATTCATATAAAATTAAACTTCAATCTTCTGAAGTTTACTGAAAGCATAGATATCAAGCAATAGTGATACATGTTTCTTTCTCATGGAAAATTATATTCACATTGTTATATCATTCTTTTTATCCCCAACTCTTTCATCATTTTCGAATTTTCTTTTGAAAAAACTCATTTCTTTCTAATTGGTTAACATTACCTTTTGTTATTCTTTACTAACATTAATGTAGATTCAGTGACTTCGTTACATCATCAACTTTAATGATTGATTATTAAGTTGATGCTCTAGAACTTTCTCTCTGATACTGTATTTATCTGAAGTAATATTTTTTTTAATATTTCATTAATATTATCGATATCTTAACTCTTTCATGAAAATGTACATTCCCTTATAATTACATGCGGCCTCATAAAAATATGTGAATTTCTATGTAAATTCTGATTTTAAAATATTGTATAGATTAATAGTAGTCGATGATAATCTAACGAAATAAGATGAACTCATGTAAGGCGGCCTGCTTGAGCATCTGGGCTACCTGTTCCTGCCATCTAGATATTTCAACAAATTATCTATTTTTGTTTGTTTTAACACATCATTATGTCTATTAACCGCATAAATTATCCTGGTGCATTTCTGAAAAGTGTACAACCTTTCGTTGTCAAACTTACAAAAAGCCCAATAAGAGATAATGTGGTCTATGGCAATATGCAGAGAAAAGAATATAAATAGTTCAGATGTTCATTTACTGAACTTCTAAAATCTAACTGGCGATCACTTAATATTTATCGTCAGGATCGACCAAGAAGTAAGAAACGGAAACTTGTTGAAATACTTTGTGCAGAGAATTCTATATTACACCAAAAATATAATATTGAATAAAGCTGATAATAATAATAATTTATATGAATAACAACAAAAATTCATAAGCCCAATAACCCTTTACATTCAATTCTATCGATATGTTGGTCAATTACACATAATCTTGGAAAATAGTTGACAAAAGTATTAAACCATATCTGAAATCAATTTTGTAAGTATTCGTTGAAAGAGTTATTTGGATTAATTAAGTAGTTAATGGATATTAATAGAAAAGCTAAGACAATCTGCTCCTTTGATGTAAACAGTATCTACAAGTGTACCTTTTAAGGAGACTATCAATATGTTGATTGATTATAATAATAATAATAATAATAATAATAATAATAATAATTCTGCTCAAATGTTTATATACAAGGTAAAGAGGAAGGCCGAAGAGCACCCTACATCGGAAAATAGAAGCACATATGAAAAGGATGAATAGCAACTGGAAACAACAGGAAAGGATTACTCAGGACAGGGTTGGATGAACAGTATTAGTGGGTGGCCTATGCTCCTCAATGAGGGATAAGTAAGTACTTCAAGATAAACATATTTTAACCAATCAATAGACAATAGTCTTGGTGTTATCACTGTGTTTTTTTAAAAAAGAAACGGATGATCTATTCTCATAGTGAGAATTAAACTTCCCTAGAAAAATATTAATGATTGTATATTGAACGGATATATTTTGAAATACGTTCATATTTACTTCTAGTCGGTTAATCAACTAAAAATATTTTTTTTTAGAAAAATGATCAAGTACGCTCCTAATCTGTTATAAAAAAAGGAAAGTAAAAAAGGTCAGATAAGCTGAAATGAATTTAATTTACAAGATACAGATAACCCATTATGTCTGTTGACTGGAAGTATTGTTGGCTAATAATCATAATAATAATAATAATAATAATAATAATAATAATAATAATAATAATAATAATTGTTATTATTATAGAACAGACATTGTAAACATAAACAAGTCAATTTATACAAACTAAACTGACCGAAAATTAAATCCTGAAGCTATTTTAGCATTTGCATCATCTAATCGTCGAAATGAATAAGTTGGATTACAATATTGAACATCCCAATCAAGATCACATTTCCAATCGATATCAATCCCGATTACACCACCCTGTTATTTGAAAAAATTGACAGTGGACATAATGAATATTTTTGATAATTTATGTAAAATAGATATATTATCATAGTTTACATGAAGTGTTAAAGAAAATATCATTCAGAACTAGGAAAAGATAAGTGTAGGCATAAAGAAACTTGGCAGCTTCATAGATGATAACTATAGAATAAAGAAACAATTGTTGTTCAGTTGGATTTTTCGTCAGTATTATTTCAATGACCTATAAATATCCTTCTGTTTATGATAACTCTGAAGAGCAGTTCGCTTTGTGCAATAGATGCTTAGATCTTTTTGTTTTTAATGAAATGTTCTGTGAGGAACTTTAATCAATATTAGCAGAAATAGATGGTGGCTAGCAGTGGAATCCATGACGCGCGTCCTGGCAATATCGAGGCAATCTGCACAGGATATACATATGTCAATAAGAAATCGATCACTTTCAGTCCTAAACATCAATGAGAAGATTCAAGCAACTAGTACAAAATGAATTAAACTTCAATTAATGTTCATTCGAACCAACGTAATCACGGATAGCTTTGATTTCTTTTCGTAATAACAGTAAATTTGCTGTATGATGCAATTATTCAAACAATCATCTGTTACTGATACAATGCTCTAAGATTAGGCCTAACACTCAGGTCTGTATTGAGTGAAAAATGAATGACCTACAAATCTGGTTAGTGATTATATCTCTAAGTAATAATCATTTGGAGGAGGGACCAAGTCAATGTTACGGTCTTATCAGTAGCCATCACTTAGTCACACACCATTATCTATCTATTAACAAACAGAAATTTTGTTTAAACCAAATAACAGATTACATATTTCTATAACAATCATATTAATTACATAAATGACTCGATAAAATGCTACATTATTAAATACTTTACTTTCTATTTGTTACCAGTTAAAATTTGAAAATAAAATTTCACAAGTGAAATGAATAAAAAAAGGTTATAATGATTAGTAATTTGGAAATTCGTATTTAATTAATTCCATTTTTTACATAAATCATTATTTATTCAAATTTACATCTATGAAAAAAAGAGACAACTTCAATAAATATTAAAAATCTCACAGCAGACCCGACTGAACTCCACAGGTTACTACTTCGCACTAGAACTCCAGGAAATGCATATTGGAGACTGTCACTAGTGAGCATATGTTGGTTTATATCAAGAGGAATATTGTGGATATTATAGTAATTTTAATAGTTGAATCCATGAGCCGATTGAAGCTAGACCATCATGGAAAACATAGAAGCACTGGACGGCCGTTACGCCCTGGAACGGAACTTCTTAGCAATCGGCATACAAGATCCCACATGGCAAGACTCGAAACCACGACCTGTCGGTTTCGCGCATAAACGCTTAAACTCTAAACCATTAACGGTTTTAATGTATAACTTCAACCGAAAATTATTGGTGATTGATACAAATAGAATTTATTCTTCTGTAATCTTCGTCTATGTATTGATTCGCTTCTAATTAATTAGATCTGGTAAACGCACAGAAAATATATCAGATATCCTTCACCAGTGCTCTAGCTTCAATTGACTCTTGATCTCAACTATTAAAATTATTATAATATCCACAATACCCCTTCTGATGTGAATCAACATATGCTCACTAGTGGCAGTCTTCAAGAGATATTTCCTGGAGTTCTAGCGAGAAGTAGTGACTAGGGTCTGTTATGAGATAGTAACTCATTGAAAATAATGGTGGATGTGTCACTCAATTTTGTGAATTGGTTGAAGTTAGACACTAACACAGTTGGATATCGACCAACTCAGTGGTATAGAGATTAGACGTCTGCAAACGAGACCGATCGTTCCTGAGTTCGAATCTCGCCAGGTGGGATCGTGTATGCCCTAACTGGATCATGGACGATCAGTGCTAGGAGTCGCACAATAGGATTATACGGCCGTCCAGTGCTCCCATGTTTTCCATGGTGGTCTAGCTTCAATTGACTCATGATCTCAACTATTAAAATTACTATAATATCCACATAACGCCTTCTGGTACAAATATTTAAAACATTGAATTTGTTACACAGATAACTTGTTAAAATCATTTTCTGGGAAATGAATACAAAATCTGGTGATTCTTCCATTTTTCTACTTGAATGTAAGTAATTTAATAATCAGTAGTGTTTCATTTTGAAACATTGTTCAATCATTAGAATAATAATTTAAAATGCTTTTCATCTTTGTTACCCTTGTTCAATTCAATCAATTAGATAACTATAATTATTGATTTTCGCCTGACATGGTGATTGATTTCTTCTCTTCTAAACATTGTGTTTTCTTATTACATCTAACTGATATCATGTTATACGTAATCATGATTATTTATTTTATGAAGAAATATATTCTGATCTCTTCGTAACGTTGATCAAATGAGTTAGGATATTCTTCAAGATGAATTTATGAAATTGTGGAAGAAGAACTCGAAAACAAAATTAGATTCATAAATACACTTTGATACAATGAAGAGTAATCGAGTAATTTATTTTGGAGTAGGGTGTGGGTGGGTAGGGGAATATATTTGTTTAGATAATTAAAATAATTTTTTACTAGTTGAATTCATGAATTGATTTAGGCTAGACCACTATTGAAAACCTGGAAATGCTGTACAGTTATTCCGCCATAGTATGGGACTGCTCAACAGCGCGCATACAAGCTGCTGCACGCAGTACTTCAACACAACACCTTTGATCTCGCTTGCAAACACTTGACCCTTAGACCAATCCAATGGTGGTTATGTATAACTTCAATCAATCCATTTTATTGCACAACCGTCCATCATTGTTTTCAGCGAGTAACTGCCTCACAACAGACACAGTTAAACGCTTTTAGTCATAGCTTCTCAGTAGAACTTCAGGAAATCTATCTTCAGACCAGTCACTAGTGATTCGATTTAAATCCCGTGTGTGGGGTCGTCAATAAGTACTATTAAGGAGTCCCATACTGAAACGGAACGGCCGTTTACTGCTTTCAGATTTTTAACAATGATCTAGCTTAAATCGACTCATGAATTCACCTATTAAAAAACTACCATAATCTTCAAAAACCCCTATTCTGATAAATTATTTTTCCTTACAAATCATCAGGGTAAACTAGTGAATGATTTATTCTGTGTTTTGATCTTAGGATCAAAAGAGGCATTATACTTTCTTTGTGGTCAATATTTGAAAATTTTCAATGAAGTAATATAGTAATAAAGTATACCTTTATTTTTTAACCACACATAGAAGAGATTGATATAATCGGGTTGTTTAAATCAATGTTTAAACGAATAAGTGTCATAGTGGAAACAAAATCATTGTTTCAAATGTTTCTAAATCATTTTGTGTGGGTATAATGGAACATTTAAATTTCTCTTATTTTTAGTAGACTTTATACTTTACGAATAATAGATTTATAGTTGAATACATGAGTCAATCGAAGCTTGATCACTATGGAAAACCTAGAAGCACTGGATGGTCATTTGTCCTATTGTGCGACTTCTCATTAGGGCACATCCATCATACTGCCTCGTGAGATTCAAACCAAGGACTTATTGGTTTCGTGCGCGAACTCTTAACCACTAGATCAACAATGATATTAATGTCTAATTTCTTTCCATCCACTAAATTGAACCACTATTCACCATTGTCTTCAGTGAGTTACTGTCTTACAACAGTTGACTTATGAATTCAATTATAAAATTACTAAAATCTCAACCAAACCCCTTTCTGATAATAATTCATTTACTCAGACAGGAAGTAACAATCAGATTTGATAATACGTTAGTAATAATAATAATAATAATAATAATAATAATAATAATAATAATTACTATCATTATTATATAGACTAGTCGGAATCGTTTTTTTTTCAAATGAAAGTTTTATATTAAAACTAAATACTGAAAAGAATGATTTCAAATGAATAATCCTATCAATGTATGATACTTCTTTGACTATATATATCTATACTATTACTGATTTGATTATGGAGCATTAATTATAGAGTAATAATTTCGTGTTTATATACGTGATTGGATTATTCGATATTATAAAAAATAATTATCGTTAAATGCTGACTTCCTGTTGGTAAATATTTAATTTTAATTCATATTAGTAGTATTGTAATAAGTAGTATAATCGCTAGGTTATATATATTTATATATTTATACTATTAAATCTAATTATTTTATTGAATGTTCAATTTGGTTTAATTGGTTTAATTATAAATATAATATTTCATAATTTAATTATTTTTATTGGCGGTTTATTATTGTTCGATGGTTTAATGTGCTCATTTTCAACGCTATTAATATTTTTGATTGAAATCATGAGTCAATTGAAGCCAGACCACCATGGAAAACCTAGAAACACTGGGTGGTCGTTTAGTCGTAGTCTAGAACTCCCCCCACACCCTGCGAGATTCGAACCCAGGAACTATCAGTCTTGAGCCAGGCGCTTAACCAACTAGACCACTCAGCCGGCATTCAATGGTGTTAATGTTTAACCTCAACCAATCCACGAAATTGCGCGACCATCTTCCATTGTACTGAGGTAGACACCTGTTTCTATCCGACACAAATTAGCTATTATTATTCCCTAGCGGATTCATTATAATGAAAGTTAATCGGACTGAATAAATTTTATTCTTTGAAAAGTATAACTTCACTTATATTTCTTCTACAGTTAATGTTGGTCTCAAGCTTGGGTAAAGAAGAAGGATCAGGCATAGGAGTCGATAACCCCATCTCATAGAAAAAAATCTTGCTAAACACAAAAAAAACGTCAACCAGATGAAAAAAGTTAAACCATTTAAACTCTGTCCTGGGAGTTGAAAGAAGATAGTAGTTTGAAAAGTATATTGGAAAAAAAGATAGATTAACTTTATTGTTTAAAAAATATCGTTTTATAAAGTTGTCACAATGAATACCTACATATTAACAATGCACCTATGATGCAGTGATGACGTCTGAAGTCAGGTATGAAGA